TATATATATATATATATATTATATCTGTGAAGTGCGTGTGTATGTGTTGTCTTTTCGAATACAATTTGTGTTCAATTACATGTATATAGATACAGCAAACCGGCGTAGAAATTGGCAGTTTTCTATGACTCCATTTTTCTATGCTATAAACACCAATAAATGTAATTGTATAAGATGGTTTATTATTATTATAAAAAAATTAAATAGTAAAAATACTTTATTTCATCTCAAACATAGACAAAATTACATACGAGGGTGAGGCCTTCTTTTAAGTATGATAATAAAAATAATAATAATAATAACGCGCACACACTCATAGCTGCGCCCTAACGAAACCCTGTATCGCGGGTGTTATGGACACAACCTGGGACCTCTTGCGTGGCATTCCAGTATGGTATCCGTTCGGCCACCGAGGCAGTTAGTACTTGTATTGGGAGGTTATTTATTGATAAACTATAGTCAAATTACATCGCATCAAGTGATATTATAAATAGACGTTCTGTAATGGTTAGTTCATTACTCGGTAGTAAACTACCACCACCTGTGCTACGTACGTGATGGTTCTGCTAAATATCAACCGGCCACCATTTTCAGTTGAAAATCGTGTCAAGAGACTTATAGGTTACACGGATTTAGTAGTAGTTTTCCAACGAACTGAAAATTATTTGACTTCTTTGACAGCCCCACATCTTTCTACATTAGTTTTGATTGAGCTGACCCTCCCTAACGACCTTTAGGGTGTACGAGAAGGGCACTATGACCTGCGCCAGCATGCCTGCGCAGAGACCATCTAACTCAGGTCCTAACCCCAGATCAGCCCGTTTGCACGGACTTCATCCGGTTCTCTGCAAGGCTAGTTCTTTAGGTGAGGCGCCCCGGATGCATCTACAGCACTCTCCGTATTTTCCAGATAGGCACTGGAGCTGTAGGCACGCCCAGTTCCCGTCGCGCTCTACGCGTCTAAGGGAGATGCTACACGGGCGGCGTCGCGGCGTCGCAACTGCACTACATATAAATTAAATCGACGGAACAGCTCGTGCGACACTCAGTACCTTGAAATCAACGCAGTTGCCACGACGCAACCCCCGTGTGGCATCTCCCTAACGGTTGTCACCGCTGAACTGTCGACTTTCGAAATCTCCGCTTTTGTGGCGGACGCCGAATGAACTGCGTCTCTCCAGTTCCCAAATTCTTACGCGACTGGAGGGATCGGAGGATGTATAGCTCATCCTCTACTAGCTCTCCGGGCTAGCGGGCTAGTGCCGGTAGCAGTGTCCTGCGACAATGTTCGGACAAAGCTAACGACTTAAAGGGCACGAGCTCCGCGAGTCTCTACGCCATTACGCCCTCGTCTAGACCGCTATTAACACGTGCTAGCTGCGCGCGAGACGAACGTGTTCATCCCTGCAGCTAACCACAAGCCGCGGCGAGTCCATATCTAAGTTCGGGTCCGCCAGAAACGCCCGTGAAGGCGTACCACTGGCGGAGGGCTCGGCACGGACGCCCGCCGCACCCTGGTCTTACCGGAGAGCCTGTAGTCACCCCGGAACTCCCTATCTCTCGGGTCGGTAGATAGGGACTGTCTTATTTGACAATAAAAATTTGACTGATATTTACAACTGACAATTAAATAAAATTTGATTGATTGATTGATTGATTGATATTTACAAGGACACTTAATGGCTTGGAAGAGGTTCGAATTATATGATGAAAAAATTTGTGCTATAGCCGGTTTACACGAGTAAAGTTATAAGTGATAAGTAGAAATATATTATAAATAAACACAATTTTAAATTTGCTGAGATTTACTATTATATTTGCCAAGTTGAACATGTTCATAGACGTTACATCAATCGTCAAATGTGCCACTAAATCTTCTTATCATATCGGTGGCATACACTAGAAGGCTTGCCATAGTGGTGAAAAATAGCAGTTTGATAAATACTTTAAGTTGAATAAAAACTTTTTGAGATTTTATTTTTAGTTCTTAATTTAGAACTCCTTAATAAGCAACTGACGTAACTTTTTAAAATTCACGCTAAATTTAATAGAAACAGAATTGAAAAAGTTAGGTGAGGATGGGTGAGGTCGATATATTAGGTATTTTGAAGACTGAGCAATCGGAATTTCGAGAATTCTGTTTCTCATCCGCAATAAGAACGTCAAAACTTGTCGAATTATAATAATCGAAATACGAACTATTGCCACACTCCCCGTATTCACTAGATTTAGCCCCATTTGACTTTTATCTGATTTTTTATCGATTTACATAAAAAATGAGGAAGTGATAGCTGAAACAGGGTAATTTTACAGTTTGACAAAAAAAAATTTTTTGATGGGTTGTTGGGATATCGATGGTCAAGGTCATTGACTTACAAATAAATGGACGACGGGTCTAATACAAAAACCACGAAAAAAATGTCCCAAGTCAACCTATTCGAAATTTAAATTGTAATGTCATCGCAGTATCGCGCTGTCAGTCGAACAAATGAAGACTAAAGCGGAGTTTGGCGCTCTGTATACGATTTTAGCGCCTTACAAGTGCGGACACTTTTTACCGCGGACCCGACGTCCATATAATTGTAAGTCAATGGTCAAGGTGAATAAAATTAAAAGGAGATTGCGTAGATAAATAAACTATATTAAAAAAATCCTCTCAAAGTTAAGGACGTATCGCCCTCGTACGTCTATTCACTTTTTATTTAATTCGGCCAATAACGATTCCTCCATCTTGATAATGTGCAATATAAAACGAGTTACATGGTTTCTTTGCAGAACAAATAAATATGTGATTTAATTTTTGTCTATTGCAAATAAAAATATATTCAAGTTTCTACAACAGATGTAACCTGACGAAAAGCGATTTCATATTTTCCAAAAATTTAGCAACACGTAGGTCTCTGCAACGGTCTTTGAAACTCAGTACATCCTTCTATATGATAATGTAATTTTGAAATAAATACTCTTCTGTACTGACGCAGTGTATCGTCCATTGTATTGTAGCTAATCACTGTTATTGATGCTCATTTTCTTTGGGTCGTACGCGTTAACCGTGAAATTATCCAATCTAAATCCAAGATCGATATGTGCTTACTCAGTAAATATCGAATATACGACCGCAACGATGTTTCTACAGTTACACAATAAACCAGGATTCGAAATTATTAAGACATATATTTTCTTTGATAATTGTCATGATAATAATCCAGTATATTTCCGATAATTATCCATGCTGATTCATAGTTTTATCTCTTTAATTTTTTACTAAACATGACAAACAGTGAGAAAACTAAATAAACATGAAACGAAAATGATATGTATGGCTTGTTACCTTTATCGAGGTTGCTAGCGGTAGTATTTTGTTGTTCCATTTACTTTTATAAATATCAAGTTTTTCTTTTTTATATAATATCAAATGACGGAACGAACAAGTCATGCGCATGATGGTAAGTGATACGCTTATCCGTAACAATTGCAGTACCACACAGAGCTTTAAATCGCAAAGATCTGAGGCACATCGCCACTGCGGCCGTCACCTTCAGTTATAAGTTGATAGTAATTTCACCAGCACCCTTATCCTTCAAACCGGAACACAGTAATGTTGACATTACTGCTTGGCGGCAGAAATAGATAAGGTGGCAGTACTTCTAGAGACGAACTCTTTCACAAGGTGCTCTACTGTTACTAAAAGCTACAAAAAGGTACATTTATCAAGATAGTTATCGTGATAATTATTATGATAATTGTCATAACAATTATCAATGATAATTACTACGTTTTTACTACTACGAAGTCTTTAAAAAACGTAGTTTTAGTCGTTTTCACAAAGTCTTCATCAGAATTATGATAGTAAACTGGTTTATTAGCTAGCCTAGATAAGACGTTATCAGTGGTATTGTAGCAAGGTACACAAAGCAATCGTTACCGGTGTGTTTACAAATTGCCTGTCAGTGGCGTGAGGCATTTGGAAAATATTTGCTTTTAGGGGAATACCAACTGGTTCGAGATTTCCGAGGTATCATGGGTGCTAACCTAGGTTTATTGACATTTAATGTTCGGCTCTATTCGTTCATCTATAGCTACTGTAATGTTGAAATACTACATAAATAGTAGTGCCATTTGTAACATCTATGGAGGAACAAGTAAATTTCAATCAAAGTAATGTAATAAAGTAATAAATCTATTTCATAAGTAAGCAAATCGTCGTATTGATTAAACTCTACTATTGATTCGTAAGGTAGATTCCCCTGAGAAGAGTGAGTGAAAAACAAAATTTTTTTAGCCGAGTTCAAAAAAGGAGGAGGTTATCAATTTGTCTTGTTTCTTTTTGTATGTATGTTACGCGATTACTCCGGCATTTGGGAACCGGTTTGGATGATTCTTTTTTTGTTGGAAAGAGGGTACCTCAGTAGCGGTCCACTTTAAATTTGAAGATAATATTCCACCTCTAAGGTTGGCAAACTAGGGAATGAATCTGTTTTCGTGCATTTTCCGGTAAACGATTTCAATAAAACTTGACAAATAGATGTAATTCCACGACTTTTTGAGGTCGGCTTTTTTAGTACTCTATACTGAGATTATTTGTAAAAACTAAACATTTGATTACACTTATCACTTATAATTTTTATTTGAAATATGATACATCAAGACAACCTTTTTGTCATCCAAGTACGCAGAAGCTGCATAATAAACAACCTTTAAAGTTTTTGTTTCACTATAGTTTTAAACTTCGTAAATGGCAAATTGTAAATATCAACCGGAATCTAATTATAGAAGAGTATACATTGCCCCTTAAATGAATTTGTGAAAAGGACTGTTGAGACCAGACAGCTAATTTTTATTACCCTTATTAATGTTATGTTTCTCACTATTAAAAAAGAACAAATTTACCATCTCTAGTTTAATTAGGGGATAGAAGTTTCTATTAAGCAAGAAGTCTATAAAGTGTTCTTTGTAGCTTGATATCCGAAAAAAATATATGAAATCATCTCTTGTTTCAGGTTTAAATTCTACGTATATTCCGCATATGTCGAGCGACGGACAGTAGCGGCGGTGCGAGTCATCGGAGCTACCAAGACTCGTGGTGCGGACTCGGTTTTTTGTCGAATATGGTTGCCGGACAACCGCACAATCACACTTAGGGCTAAGGTTCAGGTACGCACTTTAAACTAAGTAAGGGTGGAGATTCCATGTATGACTTGACTGTGGGACCTGTAAAGGGCCCGAAACGTCGGTTTGTTTGAAAAAACAAATATACGCGATTTAAATCCGGAAAAATAGTTTCATTTCCTAAAAAAATAAAGAAACACAAAAACAAAATTGAAGAAAAAGAACAATAAGGAGCAAAATATTGGAAAGGGATATGTTATCGTTGGATGACCGCATGATGACGAAGAATAACATCTACAATGCATCGCGGGGTACCTGGTGGAAATGGGATTCAGGGCTGTAGTGGCACCACTGTGGCACTACTAATTTTCATACAATATTTAGAAGCGCCATTGTCGTTACACGTGCCATTATTGATACGGCACAGACGCGCGGCAGTTACGCCACGCGCTTCTGAAGGTGCCCTAACTGAAGCCTTTTAGGGGGTGCCATAGAAAGCAATTGAGGAATAAATTTGGTAGTTGATTAGTGGTGTCTTACAATGCCTAATACTTTCACAGCGAGATCACTGAATATCCGACGACGACATTTTACTTTAATGGGTGTTTTAAAAGTGGTTTGTTACCATCTTGTTCGCATACCCAAATTTTATCATATAAATAAAAAAATATTAGTTAACGTTGATCCCAAAGTAAGTAAGTAATGCACTTGTGTTATGGAAATCGAAAACAACGACGGTACCACAAACACCCAGACCCTAGACAATATACAACAGTTTCTTACATTGATCCCACCAGGGATCGAACCCGAGACCTCAGAGATGGCGACACCATGAAAACCGGTCCACTGCAAGCCACTCGACCACGAAGGTCCTCAATATTATTAAAATATTATTATCAAAACTGCAGTATTTGTTATTCCAACGTTAATGCAGTATGATCAACAGTAGAGTTCCATTTGCGGTGACAGATCACCTTAAATCAACAACAGCAGCTTCTGTAAGTGGCGTTCTTGGCAGTGACTTATTACACAAAACTTTGATAGTTTGACCATTGCGTCTGACGCATCATTAACCTAAATTGTAGCTTGGTTCTGTTTCAGACTATTAGAGAAAATTGGAATCTAAAGTACAGCGCAGTGTACGTCCTGTGCCTTCTGTCAAAGACGGGAGTAAAGCCCAAAGACACAATTGGGGCCACAGTAGCGGTGATCGCCACTGCAGACGCCGCTACACCTCCAAGCAATCTCCTTACTGTGATCGATACCAAACCAAAACCTGGAATTGAGGTGAGACTAATGACACAATACGTGTTGAAATCAGTTTTCATTTGTACATCATTATTTATCGGATTTAGCTTTTCATTTACCATAGTATTGTGTCTCTGTTTTATCATTGGTTTTCATTGTGGGCGCTGGATGCGGAGGCATCGGGTTCGATTCCCAGTAGAACCAATTTGAGAAATGAACTTTTCCAAATTGGTTCTGGTCTGCGTGTTCTGAGAAGTGCCCCAGATTTCCGTTGCTCTGTGTAGTGCAGGGAATTTTTTAATTTGAGACTAGGCAATTGGTGGGGTTGTTTGGCACATATTGTTATTATTACTGTTGCATGTGGTGGCGACCTTTAATTGAGTCCATACTTTAGCAAAACTCCATTTGAATTGTATAATCAAAATTGTATGTACTAAGTGTATGACTAGTGTCCTAAATAAATGGAATAAACGTGAAATAAAATATTATATTTATTTATTTATTCATTTATTGCATTGTCACGCTTATGTTATTTTAGGTACGGTGGCTAGTGTGGCGAACGTAGGCGATTTATCGCCATTAAGGCTACTTAAGACGAAAATCAGCGACGAATAAAAATAAAAACTTGCGACTGGTCGCCTTTCAGGCTACTTTCGGTTTACAATCTTAAGAATAAAACATGAGCGTACATTGAAGAAAAGATAAGCTCCCCACGAAAATATAAAAAGTCTGTGATATTAAGAAAGAAAAATTGTTTATGGTTGTTCAGTTTCGGCGGGAATTTCCCGCGAAATCTAATAGATTAAGTTTTATTACGTTTCAAAACAATATTTCTTTCAACTCTTCTTTACCAATCTATCTGAACGTTGCTTGTTGTGCTAATAAGTTGAGTGGTCTGACTTTAGTAAAAGAAAATGTAGAGGGCACAGCAGTTTTCTTCAATACTTTGTGTATAGATTCATCACCTATAACAGATAAAAATAAATTAATAAATGATAACATTTACTAGTAGAATCATGCCATAAGTATTAATAATAGCAGTGCCAGGAATGAAGAGGAATGCATGATATTTGTTCTGCAAAATTTCAGCTAACCTAACCTAACCTATCTTCAGGTTTAAATTCAGACGCACATAACCTCAACGAACTAGTAGCCTTAAAATTTTTCCTTCGCAGATCTTTTACCCCACAGTTTTCTTCTTTTCTGTTCTTTGGGGAATAAATGAATTCCCGTATTTTGCAATCAACTGCTCCACAGAGGGTCATAATAGAGAATTATTTCTTAAGGACTTTGTTTGTTTACAAAAACATTGACAAATTATAGCTATAGCTGTCATTACCGAAGGCTCTACAGTGTGGACATCTGGAGGGAGCAATAGGCAGTTGTTTACCCCGTTATGTCAATTTATTTACTTTTATTTCATTCTACTTAGGTTTAATTTATCATTTTAGTAAATTATTGATTTACACTATAATTTTATTTTATTTATTGCTGTTTTTCATTTGTTGTTTAGACTACTTTAGGCTACCACAGCTAAAATTCGGCTAATTTAGGCTACAAAGTTGTGAAAAATGGCGATTTGGACCCAGCGTTGTTGGCAACACTGACAGTGGCTTGTAAATGTATATGACACCCTGTAAGGGCACAGCAAAGTGATGAGGGCATTTACTCATTATAAAAGTAATGAAATAAACGTGATCATATTAAATAAATTATTACAATTATACATATATTCGATACATTGAGGAGTATTGTAAATTAACTACTTAATAAATTACATTTCGTCATTGAAAATTTTTTTAATATTATAACTTTAATTTATGAGGAATTATTTTAGAGAAAATTTTAGTTCTTTAATTTCTTTTATGTAATTTGGTATGTAATTGTAAAACTTGCGGTCCTGAATATACCAATATTAATTTAAAAAATCTTATCTTTTTACAATATCGGGATAATATAAGTGACGGGACGAACAAGTCGTGCGCCTGATAGTAAGATACACGCCTGTCCATAACAGTTGCAGTGCCACTCAGAGCTTTAAATCGCAAAGACCGGAGGGGTACTGCCACTGCGCCCGTCACCCTGCGGCATAAGTTGGGAAGTTCCATGTGCCTGTAATTTCACCAGCACCCTTACCCTTAAAAACCGGAACGTGGCGGCAGAAATAGGTAAGGTGGCAGTACTTCCCTGAACGAACTCTTTCACAAGGAGCTCTACTGTTACTACTTCAACTTTTCTTCTACTTCTATTCATTCATTTCATTCATTCTATTCAATATTTTAATTGATGTAGTTTTATATTATTATTGTCTCTCTTTTTTATATTAAGGTTTCTGTTTTCAGGGGGCGTTGCATGTTTGCGTAAAGCCATTTCACTTCCACTACGGGCGTAGTGAGTGGTTGATAGAGTGGATGGAGTTAAACAGGTTGCTTGGAGTCAGCCACTTTTATATGTACAATAAGACGATGAGTGAGCAGACAACGTGTTTGCTCAATCACTACAGGGAGCATTATGGACTTGTTACATTGCTGCCTTGGAATTTACCCATTATATCCGTAACTGAAATCAGGTTGGTACAAAAAATATTTATAGTACATTGGTAGCATGCGCCTAGTCGGCTGTAAAGTCTTATAGAACACATTTTGTTGAAACTATCACATTGTCCCTTTTCTAACATTACGAAATTATGAAGTATATCGATACCTCTAATGAACACTATGTCAACTTAATTTTTGGACCTGGAGGTCTAATCTTTTTCTTGAAAACGAAATTTCGTTACCGAATGATATTTAAACGAAGTTTTGTCAATAAATTTACTCTAATTCTTTTTCGGTCGCGCCCAAGAATTTCGTTGTCATTTACAATTTTCGTGAACGACAGGAATTAATGATATTGTGTAGGTCTTTTTCGATGTCAACTACGACAAATTACGGTTTTTACTTTACCTTAAAATTACTACAATTGTTTTGCTTTATTTTTAAATTTTACATTTAATATGTGGTTCATTAAGTATTTATTGTAATATTCATGCAGAAAATATAAAGAATCAAATAAAAATATATTTTTGGCATAATGAGCCGAGACGCTATATGTAGAATACTCATTGTTATCCTATTTATTTGAAGAGTACCATTTCATGCAAATTATAGGTGGCAAAAGTATGACATCCAAAAATTTCCGTATATTAGAAGCTATATTCTCTATATTGTATTGTAATATTTACAAATAAATATGAAAATGAAGGCATTTGAAACTCTTGGCGAGATTTCTCGTAATCATTATCTCCAAAAAAAAAAGCAAAATTATAATGCAGTAAACAGATTTTATTTAATCAACTTGCACAATCTTTATTTCCTTGGGTAGAACTTTATTTCTACATGTTTTTCGAAATTTGCATTAACACTCTTGTTCTTAGCTTAGGTTGCCTCTGAATTAGCTGTTTCTTCAGCTAATTCAGAGGCAACCTTCTTTCAGCTTGCGAGTTCATTTTCTCCCAACTCGTGAACAACAATCGTGAGCTCGTTTCCATATCGTCTTTCTTTTAAAAGTGATAAGGCCACCTTAATGCCACTATTTCTTGGCACTACTCTTCAAATAGAAATGTGCAATGTGATATGCAATAATAAATTGCCAATTGAGTATGTAATTTCCTACAAACTATAAGTCGGGAAATTCACATTTATACGTAGTGGTTGCACTGGCGGCGACGACGGTTTTTCCTACGCTCTGAACGTTCTGTTTTTTTTATTGTGACTCGGCAAAATGACTGCACCGCGCCTGATGGAAAGTGCGAATACAGTCCGTCACTATCATTTTGCCGGTCTGGCCAAATGCTTCTTCACACTACGTTTGAAGGACCCGATGTTATAGAAGGGAGGGAATACATGCACCGGCAGTTGGTTCCACAATTTGATGGTTCGGCATAAAAACGAATTGCCAAACTTTTTAGTGCGGGACGGTATTGAACTGACCGTCCAACTGTGGCAACGCAGTCCGGCACGGGTGGTCCGCTGATGGAAAGGAGAGGAAGGGATAAGGTTGAATAACTCTTCAGAGCACTCACCGTGGTACAGGCGATAGAATACGCTAAGAGACGTTATATCTCTACAGGAACAAAATTCACATTTAGGAAAATCAAAAGGTAGCACTTTTAGTTTCGTCAATTTGACATTATAATTCCGAAGAATTATCTGTCAAGAATTAGGTCAATGGTCAAAATCAAATTTTCATTCGGATGTTCATGAATTAGAGTAAGGTAACAAAAACTAAATTTAAACTTTATTAATATTATTACTTTAAACTAAATTTATTATTTAAACGAAATTTTCCATTATATGGAATTGTGGTAAGAAACATGCGAAACTTCGATCGAAATTTCGTTTTTTGGTGAAAAAGAGTAGACCTCCTGTTCGGTTTTTGATTTGTTTTTCATTCTTTTTTTTTACAAAATTCGTTGTTTTGTTGTTTTTTTTAAATTAGTTTACAGTTTCGTTTTTTTTCTTCAAATTCTTGGAGCATAATATTAGTAAATAAATATGGCTGTTTACAAAAATAACAGATGTCAAAAAAAAATTAAGTTGTCGTAGTGTTCATTAGAGGTGTCGATGATGTATAAACCACATTTTCTTTGGAATACTATAATTAATATATGTGAAATAAATCACTATTGTTTCTTAGTAAATTTCACTTTTAGGTTCATTTGAATACCTATAGCGTTACGTGGTATCGTGCTTAGATTTGATTAATGTGACCCACAAACTTTCCAAGATTGATTACAGTTGTAAACTGAATTAGGTTCGTAGTAATTATGGTGTTTTATGGTGTATTATTCCTAAAATACAAAGTATTGGTGGAAGTGTAGCCAACTGCAGTCAGCTTTGGTCTTTGGACAGTTCTTATTATGACTGAGTTGAATTTAAAGTTACTGTCTGTCGGAGTGATTTTTTGTACGATATTTTTTTAATACCTTTTGTCGTACGTCAAATTCGTTGACAACATTAATAAAGTTTCGTATTTAATTATCATAAATACATCAGTGATTAATTCGATAAGTTATGGACGCGGCAACAGCATTCGGAAATATTCGTGACTTCTAAACTTTCCCGACGTATAATATTTCCCGATGTGTGATATCGGTGTATGTACTTACTTGTTCAACATTAAAAAAAAAAATTAAAAACCATATTATGATGACCATACATCAAACCTCATTTGTATTCCCCATTAGGTATTAAGGTCATAAACTCACGTTTAAATAGAATTTTTATAATTGTCTCTATGGCCGAACGGTTACCATGCTAGACTGCCACGCAGAGGTCCCGGGTCGGGAGAAATGTTTTTATGGCATACATTTATTTCTTTCGTGGTTTGGGTGTATTTTGTGGTGGTCTACCTATGTTTGTGTCCATGGCACCTGCGATACAGGGTTTCCCTAGTGCAGGGCTATGAGTGTGTACGTTATTTATTTAATTGCAGAACTGAGGGTCAGTTCGCGGCATTTCAAGACTGCCTGTACCGGTCGATGTCGTCAGCCAAATGGCTGCTAGTGGTGGACACAGACGAGGTGTTGATACCGCGGCGCGAGCGCACCTTACCTGCGTTACTCGAAGGTCTCTCCGCTTCTTACGCACCTGCCAAGGTGCCAGCAGCATTCCTTTTTAGGAATGCATTCTTTTATGTACTTTGGGAGGTACGTAAAAAAAAATTTGATAATATTTCCAATAATAACTAATACTTATCTCAAATATGCTCGGAAGTATTTGCAATATTTTCAAAAAAAGAACCCACAATGTTTGTCATTTATGGAGCATCCAACTCTTTGCCTGCCGAATATAAGCATGTACATCCATTTCTTTTTTTCTTAATCTTTTAAATATCATATCCACTAACAACATTGACTTACAATTATATGGACGTCGGGTCCGCGCTAAAAAGTGTCCGCACTTGTAAGGCGCTAAAATCGTATACAGAGCGCCAAACTCCGCTTTAATCTTCATTTGTTCGACTGACAGCGCGATACTGCGATGATATTACAATTTAAATTTCGAATAGGTTGACTTGGGACATTTTTTCGTGGTTTTTGTATTAGACCCGTCGTCCATTTATTTGTAAGTCAATGACTAACAAAGAGCTGTGTAAACAGACTAAAGAAAAACTGTTATACAGCCAACTGCTCACTAGCATCAGTGTCCGTAATTGCCAGAATTTACAAAAATATTATCTATGGGTATTACGTATTTTGCGTTTAATTGGTGCACGAATTATAGCTGCACCACATAGTTTAAAAAAGGCGGTGAAATAAACAAAAGTACATAGAAGTTTTTTGTATTATTTATATTGTCTTCGCGAAAAGTTTTGAACTCTACTGAGAAGACCGAAAATACAATAATGGATTGTATGTAATGCAAAAGTCACGGAAAACTTCTTTCTAGCTAAGAGCAAACAAATATATACATGAAATAAATGTGATTACTTTTTTATTATACATTCTCCCTCATTCTTTACTATTTTCTAATTTCCTCGCATTGTTTGAGAAAAGCGCTATATAAGTATACCTCGGCGGAAATGGGAATTGCTTGCGTCGTATAATATGCTCTCTCATATACTACATCTCATACTTTTTTATTAAAAATAAGTGAGTATTTGACCTCCGTCTCACTCGATAGAAAATGACGATGATGTAGACGATGGAGCATGCACGCATAAATAATGCCCCTTCATTCTTCCCTTAACAAGACCTAAGATATACCGTTCAGGAAACAAGTCTGTAGGCAGGGAATTTCACTTCACAGCCGTTCGCCATATAAATGTGGAAGCGTAACGCACCGTGCAAATCCTTGGAATATCCACAACATGGGACAGTGTGGTAACCCCTGTCTGGTCCCCCGATAATGGAAAGAAGAAGGCGGAATAAATTGTGCAATTCCCTCGCACACTCTCCATGATATATTCTGTAGAACTTCTCGTCCTCTCCAGCAACTCGTTCAGCAGTCCTTTACTTTTCGGTCTCTCCAATAATATGCTATTAATACACTGACTATTTGTTTCGACGATATTCCATATTCCAGGACGACCCCCAAGCTCCAGCTAAGCTCCTGACAGCGTGTAAGACGCGGCGGTGGACAACGCCTCATGTACTCAAGAATCGCAGCAAGTACGTGGTAAGACCGCGACACGCCGTTGAACTCGGCAACCATTTCACGTGGGAGCTTCTCCCTGGAGCCACCTCAGTCGGTGTTCCCAAAGACCTCGCGTTACTACACCATTACCGGGTAAGTCTACTAATCATAACTAAGTAGTTTTAGTAGCAGTGGCTTGCGAAAGAGTTTGTCCAGGGTAGTACTGCCGCCTTACCTATTTCTGCCGTCATGTACTCATGTAAGCATTACTGCATTCCAGTTTTGAAGATTTTGCGATTTAAAACTGCGATAGTGTCGCTTACTACCAGGCGCACGACTTGTTTATCCCGTCACGTGATATTATAAAAAATAGTAATGTTATTTTTACATGCATTGAAGTCCAATATTATTGTAGTCTATTTCAGTTACTTTAAAGTAAGATTTGCAATGATAATGATAGAGCAGAAGAAACCATCTCTACGTCTATTGACCAATAAGCTAAATGGACATTGTGTCTTGCTTAATTAAAAACACCATATAACCGTTACAATGCCGCACAGAGCTTTAAATCGCGAAGATCTGAGGGGCACTGCCACCGCGCATCACCCTGAACTAGAAGTTGAAAAGTCTCGTGTGCCTGTAATTTCATCAGCACCATTACCTTTCAAAACCGCAACGCAGTAATGTGAGCATTACTGCTGAAATAGGTAAGGTGACAGTATCCCTGGACGAACTCTTTCATAAGGAGCCCTACTGCTTTATAATTAGCTTGATTTGTTTATTAATTTGGTCATAAACCTGAGGTTAGTAGGACATTAATTTAATTTTTTTTGTAATACTGAACAGTTTGTATTGAAAGAGTTTTTTGTTTGTTACAGTTCTTTTTTTTCTTCATTTCAGTTGAATTGTGAATTCGGCGGAATGTCGTGTGTGAAAGTGCCATCAACTGTCGACCGAACAGCGCACCAATGGTCGGAAGAGTTAATGAAACGAGTAACAGCTGAGAAGAAACTCCTTGCGAAGGCATGTCCGAAGATTTTCCCTGCGTAGACTAGGTCTTGTACCTATAAGGTATAAAATACTCTGTATCTCGGAACCCCCGACGTGCAGGTTCTGGTACTCGCACCTGGTGAGGTTTTGATGAAAGGCTTACATAATGACCGAGTGAAATTTTCTAAATCATCAGGTGAATAGTATAAATACAGAAAATTGATATTTAGACGTTTTGTGTTCATGGACAATTAACAGTTGTCATTAGGTGGGGAGTTCCTGTGCAGTATCATAAAGAGAAATATGTAAATAGAACAATGCATATGTTAATGCTGTTTGGTTTTTCTGTTCAATAAAACACAGGTAGGTAGTTGTGGTAAGTATGCTGTAAATTTGTAATGTATTTCGATTTCATTAGTCCAAACATGAGATGTTCTGTGATCTATTTATATTATTTTTCTTACAATCGTGGTATACTTATGTTCTGAAATTTGGTGCAGAAACAATGAAATACAACACGTATCTGGGGTAGGAGTTCGCAAATGACTACCATAGTATAATAAGACAAGTAGGGTAACTCTATACAAATGTAGCAATGCGGCTTGTATATGTGCAATTGTGCATGCCCGCCGCGCGCTTTCTAGGGATGCACACATTCGCAAAATCACGCGGTGCACTCACGTTGCATAGCACGCGTCGTCTCACGCGTCATTTATTACAGAATTCTAGCTTGGTGTTTAATCAAATAAACGTATTTATAGTTGTGTTTATGGTAATTTGAACAAGAGTGACTCAAATTTGGAATCGTTCAGCATTTGATTTCTACATAATCATACTCACATAATCGAGATACCAATCCGCTATGCTCATATAAAAATATCAATATGTAAGTACTGCATTTAACACAGGTAATTTTAATATAGCACGAGAAGACTGTGATGAAAGCTTTAATTTTTGAAAATTATGTTTACGATCTGTAGGTGCAACTAAAATAATAATGTGACAACCCTACGCTACGAGAGAAGTGTAGGCATTAATGCGTCGAACAGGCGCGAGTTGCCTTATTTGTCTTTATACTATGTTACTACTGCCATCCGTGTGTCGCCCATGGTGGTGTTTTTATTTTATATATATTTTTATAATATCAAGTGACGGGACGGACAAGTAGGTAGTAGGTGTAGCCTTGCTTACCAAGCCGGGAATTATTTATGCAAAGAGCCGACATATTGGGCCTCTGCGTTGAATATGTTAATACTGTGAATTTAGTGTTATTAAGTTGTTTTCAAAAAATGTTATTATTGTTGGTGTTTATCGGACTGGGAATGGTGATTTAAAATTATTTTTATGTTAATAGAAAAACTATTGTCAATAATCTTTGATGAAAATAAAAGGTTCATTTTGGTCGGTTATATAAATGTGCATTATACGACTGAAAACTCCGACAGGCGACGTCTAAACGACCTATTGAAATATAACTGAAAAAAATGACGATTTTCTGACACGCGAATGTGACACTTGTAGCACTTCATCGGATTGTGGGAGAGTTTCGAGTGATGACTATTACATAACCATTTCTCCGGTAATTACGTCAGTCGATAACCGACTACGGTACACAGCTGTTCGTATTGCCTAATTATTGGAACCAAGAATGTAAACAAGTTTGTACTTGGACGTACCTATAAAAAAAAAATAAAAAAAAAATAGTTAAAAAAAATATTAACTGTTATATTCATTGCCTAAAGAAGCCCGGTATTGTATATAATTACTAGGTGTTCTAATTTTATCACGGAATAACTCATATCAATAATTATTAATAAGAACTATCCATATTGTCGTTAACATAACTATAATTGTAATTTTATTTACTACAATAAAATTGTATAACATTAATGAAAAATTTAATTCATTGGTAAGAATATAGATTTATTATTATGTTGGTATACATTTACCTATTCATAAGAAACTATACGTCATAGGGGCGTAAAGAACTATAGTGAGTAACTCATTGCATTTTGCATAATGGAACATCCGTTTCACACGATACGGTATAAGGTAATTGTATGCAATGTTATTCAGATTTAATAAAATCTATTATTTTGTGTAATCGTCTTGTGTTCAATGATGATGAAAATTGGAGCAAGGAAATGAGATCATGAATAATGAAATTTCAAGTAAAAGTATACAAAAATTATGTATCGACTGACAAAAATACTTGACTCTTTCAATGATTAATCACAATTACATTTACACAGTAATAAAGAGAAATCAGTGTCACTAAGTGTGTAGGGTGTGATGTTCCCCAGTTCAATTTACCAACAGTTAGTCGCCAGTCGTTAAAGGGGTGGTCAGAGGAATGTCATATGCATCTAAAACGTTGTATACAGTGCGTAATCGTTAAGAGTGCCCAAGCGATATTCCATATATATTAGAGATATCAAATAATTTTAAACTGATATAGAAAGTATATTATACCTAATGAATAAATCAACATCAATAACTTTTTCAAATTAAAACTAGAAATATCGAAAATTTTAATATTAAACACATTTAAAACGCATTTATTACTTTATTTATAGCAGTTTTATTATCTGTAAACTTATTGTTACCTCTTAAAGTTGGTCAAGTAAAACCATCCTACGAATGTCATATTAAATGTATGGCAGCGTTTAATATTAAAATTTTACATATTTTTAATTAAAAAAAAAAGTTATTGATGTCGATTTACTCATTAGGTAACGTACTTCTGATATCAGTTTAAAGCTTTTTTGATATCTCTTATATTTATGGAATAATCGCCTGGGCACACTTAACGATTACACCCTGTATATACTGGGTGATCGTAAAATACTAACAACCTCGCATTACCATATTACTAAGATCATAAACAACAACTTTTGTGAATGTCATTTTTTCAAAAACATGCACTGAGAACTGTAGTAGGCATAGAAAAGGTCAGTCCTGAACAAGCCTTTTTAGAAAACACCATTATGGTGGTGTAAACATTTTCGAGCGATGTACTAGTGGCAACTGAGCATTACGAAACACAGGAAAAATGCACAACGAGAAACCCGTGAGTAATTAGCCCCTGATTCTACGAACGCCCACAAATCTGAAAGTGTTACAAACGACAAAATGTTTTATAACCGACTGAAACTCCTTTTAATGTACAATTCATTTTACAGTGTAGAAGAATTTCTTTCGAAGAAATTGTAATTTTATTATGACTCAACGTAATTGTAATTTGATAATATTTAAGTTTTGGTGACATCAAGTGACGAGACGAATAAGTCGTGTGCTTTGTGGTAAGCGACACTCTTGTCCATAACAGTTGTAAGTCCGCTCATAGCTTTAAATCGCAAAGATCTTAGGGCCTCTGTGCCCGTCACTCTGAGACGAAAGTTGACAAGTCCCATGTGCCTGTAATTTTTTGTTATATTATTTTGTTTTATACATATAAACTACGTATTACGCATTATTGTTTATATTCGTGACGATCCTATTATCCCTTAAGATTATATATATTGTGACATTGATAATACGAAATTAATGGTTCTACACTATTCTATAGTTGTGTATTCAAGTGATAATGGTAGAATGTCAATGGTGCAATTAAGTTTATGCGTAATGTGTAAATATTACATATCTGTTAATTGTAATCATACTGCCATTATGATTTCACCATTTTCTTGAAGAATATTACTATTTTAGAAAACTTTGGCGTTCTTTTTCATAATCATGTTTTTAATTCGGTCTATACATAAAAGAATCGAAAGTAACATCTATTCTGAAAGGAAAGGTGACGAATTATTGCTTTATTATTATAATATACATAGTTTAATATATATAGTTTTCTTATTTTCATTGCATTTGCGTAATACACATTTCTGTACCTGAGTATATATTTTCATTGATTCTGCTGTCTGTTTTATAGATACTTAAATTTATGTAGACTTGTACTTACATAATTAAACTTAGGTAGAATAACAATGTACAAAAATAACAAGTGTAATATTAAAAAAATTCGTTATATATATATATATATATATATATATATATATATATATATATATACATATATATACATATATATACATATTATTATGTATTCTTATGTAAAAATAGTGTATTATTTTGTTGAGAAAACATACATAAAACTTGTTTTAAAAATCTATTGTTAATATGTGTTTCTCGGCGGCCTAAAAATTACACCTTAGCACATTTATTCGCTTTGATTGTCTACTTACTTACATATTAAGGTTCAATGTTATCGATAGAGTGTTCTCATTTACCTATGTATTGTTTGATATGGATTGTTGCCAATTCTGTCATTTCAAATTCTAACTAATTTGACAAATTTAAAAGGTTTGTCATACCTTAACCAAAGTACAATTCATCGCATCGCATTTAATTTCTATTTCACATCGAGTATATAACCAGAAATAGAGACGAAATGTCATTTAATTTTATTGAAAACCATTCTGTCAAATCATTACAGTGGCAACTGCGCTGCGATTGGCCAGCTCGAATTCGAACCAGTTTAACTTGATCTTTGCTATAATGGACGATAATTTATTTTGTAATAATGATTTCGTTTGTTTTGTAATTAGATGTTTGGCTGTTTTTCCCACACCACCGAATGGAACAGCCCGCCATTGTTATAGATATATCCTTAATAGTCCTTATATCACTTTTAAATATCAACTCTCGTTTGCGCTGAAATCACAAATTAGAAAGCTGAAATAATACAGCGCCAACAACAGATCTGTGTGTACGTCTCCATATATTAAAAAAATATTCTGTAACTATTGTTATAAAGATGATAATCTGTACACACAGATCTGTTGTTGGCGCTGTATTATTTCAGCTTTCTAATTTGTGATTTCAGCGCAAACGAGAGTTGATATTTAAAAGTGATATAAGGACTATTTGCCTGATGAGTTGCCAAGGATGGAATACCCTTATTTCGTCGCTATATCTGGTTATATACTCGATGCTGTTTCATAACTATATTCCCATAAACGAGATACCAAATAACAAACATCGCGCTATAAAAATATCGATACGTAAGTATTGCATTTGACAAAGGTTATATTTTCAATGTAGCACGAAAACACTATGATGAACACCTTATATTTTTTTAAACTATGTTTCCAAACTGTGGTGAAGTTAAGTGTAGGCATTGATGCGCCAAACAGACCGGAGTTGCTCTATTTGATCTTATTATATGTCTTTACTCCCTATCAGTCTAAATGGGACAGCAATGTTTTTGGACACTTTTAGCTACACTAGTTGAAGATCTGTCTTATTCTCCGATTTTGTTAGATAACTGTAAAGTATAATACTGCTTCAGTAACTAAAATAAGATTGCCAAAGTTTTGGCAAGCATAGGGTGCGCGTTCAGTTCTTTCTAAAATTACAAAGAACGGGTATATAACAAAAAATGTTTTTGTTTATCAGTAAAAGTAGGGGCAAAGACTGCAAGCATATTTATTTGTGTCGTGATTGGGACTCAGTTTGAATTATTGTAGCTAAATACGAAGGTTCCTTGCCGCTTTGTTTGATTATTCCGCTACATTCTATCATTTTGTTGGGTTTCTTCATATTCTTGTTCGATCTATCGATAGTACACACTGTAATGCTTGTTACGTGCCTAGGGATGTGCCAGGAAAGGTCTGGGTACGTCGTGCGGTTCTTATCGTGCATATTTTGTTGGCCGTAAAATTTTCATTTCTTTGATCTATCTATGTTTATAATAAAAAAGCGATGACAATTACGAAATATGCAAACGCATTCTACAGTATTAACACATATATTAGCAGAATGTTGTGGTAATCATTAAGTGAATGTTATAATACAGACATATCAGATATTTTTTGTTATAATTTTAGTTTTCAGTGTTATAAATAAAGCTGCGTCTTGTTTGAATTCCCAATATTAATCATTACTGTACAAAAGTATGTATGTGAGCTGTTTCAGTACTTAGATTACTTATTAATTATGTCGTATTCACACAAATATTCTAAAACCAATTCATATAATGTTGCTTATAACAATTTGTACGTTTTTTTTTCTTTTCTATAATAACAATTTTATATTTTATAAAACTTAATAAAACACACCCATTCACATTTGAAATCAGAAATATTTTTTTTTTATTTCTCTAATTTTTAGGTCAATAAAACTTTACATATTTTGTTGAGTAAGTGACAGAAGAATCTGAGAGAAGAAGTTCACGACGAGTTTCTATGTAAGAGTGAAACAAAGGTGGGTGGGTATATATGGGTAACTAACTTCTTCAACTTTTAATTCGAACATTGATGTCACATGTCGATACTGGTACCTACTAGACCTGAGACGCCGCCGCCGCCGCCGACAAATGCAATCGGCGCGCCGTTCAGTACAGTTCGATCAGGCGCTCGCTTCCTTGTTGTGTATGCTAGTGGAAATGACGACGCCAAAAATTTACATTTCTAAGATAAAAATTAGTAACTTTATATTCTAAGATGTTTTGTTTAAAACATTAATTTGTCATTTTCTGATGTCGCCATTTTCACTACGCTTATACAATACGGATTGAGCGCGTGCGTACGATCGAAGCGCCTGATGGAACTGATAAAAATTTGATTAATAGACAAAATGATTTATTTTATTTTTTTCTTTGAAAAAGTATTTGTACAACGGCTTTCGTAAAAATAAAC